CAGAAGCTGAGAATGGAGATGTTAGAATGGAGAGAATTGTACAGGGAAACATGACAATAGAAACACCCAGGAAATGTATTTCCTCAGAAGTCAGAGGGATGCTGAACGTGTCCTTCATTCGTTTCCTTCATCCTTTCTTAGGTTTCAGTTTCCTCCTATGCAAAAGGAGTGGGTTAAACTAGATCTGCTCTAAAGTCCCTTCCAGCTCTGACCTCTGACCTAGGATCCTTCCTCTCCCTGGGCATTTTTCTGATCTGTACAATGAGGGGATAGGATGAGGCAGCCTCCAAGGTTCCTTTCAGTTCTAAAGCTGGTATCCTATGGGCCTTCCTTCCCTTCCTTCTCCCTCCCTGGTTCCCTTTCTTCTTCCCTCCCTTCCCTTCTTCCTTCATCTTTTGTTTCCTTGATCCCCCTCTTCCTTTTTCCCTCTCTTCCCTCCTTATTCTCTTCCTTTTTCCTCTCTTTTCTTTCCCTTCTTTGTTCCTTTTTATCTTTCCTATTTTATCTTTTGTCTTTTTATTCCCAGCATCTAGTATAGTGCCTGGAATAAAACAAAGTATGAACTTCGTAAATACTTATAAATCTCTCTCTCTCTCTCTCTCTCTCTCTCTCTCTCTCTCTCTCTCTCTCTCTCTCTCTTTCTCTCTCTCTCCCTCTCTCTCTCTCCCTCTCACCTCTCCCCCTCCCTCCCTCCTTCCCTTCTTTCTCCTTCTTTTCTTCCTCCCTTCCCTTCCTCCACTTTCTTTTCTTTCTTTCTTTCCTTCATCCTTTCCTCCCTTTCTTTCTCTTGTTTTTCCTTCTTTCCTTCCTTCTCTTGCATCATCTTTTCTTTCTATTCTTCATTTCTCCCTTGCTTCCTTTTCTTCTTTCTTCTCTCCCTCTTTTTTTCCTCCCTCCCTCCTCCTTCCTTCCTCTTCCCTTTCCTTTTTCGAATCACCCTTTCTTTCAATTCTTCCTTCCTTGTTCTCTTCCTTCCTTCTTCTTTCTTCATTTTTCTTCCTTCCTCCTCTCTTTCCTTTCTTCCTTTCATCACCTTTTCTTCCCATTCTTCCCTCTCCCCTTTTGTCCATCCTTCCTTAGTTTCTTCCTCCTTTCTAATAGGTAATCACTGCCATCCTCCTCTGTGAAGGATAAACACATAGATAAATAATACATAGACCCTGCCCTCAAACATCATACAATTATCAACTTCCAGGAGTATCCAGTCTAGCAGCAAGAATCAGCCATGCCCAGAAATCCCCGCAATCCAAAGCAGCCCATGCTGAGTGCCCCATGCCATCAGCATTCATTGAAGCTTCAGGCAAAATTCTGCGGGGAGGCGGAGAAAGGAGATGATGTGTCCACTTGGGGGCATCCAGAGAGCCAGGAAAGGCTTTGTGAAGGATGTGGCATGGGAGCTGGGCCGGGCCATCTTTGAAGGGTAGATAAGATCCCCAGACAAGCGGAAATGTGTGGGAGTGCTTTCCATGGCCAAGTGCAGAGGCAGCAGCAGCAACCAGGGCGTGTTCAGCAGTGAGCAAACCAGTTTGGCTCATAGCAGACAAAAGTTGATTTGACCTGAAAAGTATTAAAGGCAGAACACAAACATTTTGACCTCCTTTTCCCTGTGCCTACAGATGATGTTAGACCAACCTTGAGCATCTAGCAGAAGGCCAACCATCCTTAAGAAGCAGATCACTAGGAGCCCCTGGCCTTCAGGTCTTCTAATGGAGATCTGTGCTTTGTTTTCTCCTACAAGTATGAAGGTTAATTAGTCTATATGACTGGTATGGCTGTTAATAAAAAGCCTCTTTGTATCTGCCCCTGAAAAGGTGGTACTTACAGATATTCTGGGCAAGACGTCAGAGTATATACTATATATACTATCTATCTGTATACACACACACACACACACACACACACACACATACACTATGAATAGATATAGTCCAACCTTCATTTTACAGATGAGGAAACTGAGGCACAGTATGGTACAGTCATTACCCAAGGTCAAACAGTCATAGTATCATAGATTTAGAGGCAGAAGCTCAGAGTCTATAAGACATACAAGTGTACATACACATGTATGTGGTTTAACCCTCATTTTACAGATAAGGAAACTGAGGCCAGGATGGTTTGGTGCTTGCCCAAAGTCACATAGGTGATAAGTCATAGATTTAGAGCTGGAAGGGACTTCTTCAGAGGCCGCCTAATCCAACCCCCACCATTTCACAGAGGCATCTGAGCCTCAGAGAGGTTAATGACTTATCCAAAGTCACACTGCTAAATGACTGACAGGAGGATTTGAACCCAGGGCCTCTGACTCCAAGACCCTGTAAAACCCAAAGGGACTTTGGAACATTCAAGGAATATAATAATACCAAGTCTTTTACTTTCTCCTGTCTTTGGCTTTGGAACAGGCTGTGCCCAATGTCTGAAACACCTCCCTCTTCACCTCTACCACATGGAAACCCTGGCTTCCTTCAAAACCCAGCTTAGGTGCCACCTCCCAAGCTTTCTCAGTTGTTAGATCAAACCTTAAAGCACTCAATAAATGCCACCTATCATCGTCATCATTATCATTATATCATTATTTTCTCTCCAACCAAAAGAAATACTTTACTCATTCTGTATATAGTTAGTGCATGAGAAGCAGCCTGGAGTTGGGGAATAGAGATCTGACCTTGAAGTTAGGAAATCCTTGAAGCGATTCCCACTTCTCACACATGTTGGCTATGTGACCCTGGATAAGTCGCTTAACTCCTTAGTCCCCGAGGAGATCCAGAGACTATAAGCTCCCCAACAGTCGGAGATATCCATTGGTGAAGGGAGTTTCCTACACTTGTGAAATCACGAGTCACAGGATCATAGCTGTGGTGCCATTCAACTCAACCCTCTCCTTTTACAGATGAGAAAACCAAGACCCAGTGGCTTTATGTGACTTGTCCAAGATTGCTTTACACAAAGAGTATTAGTAGAGGCAGAATTAGAACCCACCTCCTCTAACTCCAGAGATAGGTCTTTCTTTGTGTATATGGATCTATATATATATATGTTGTTTCACCCCAATAGAATGTAAGCTCCTTGAGTACAAGGACTATTTCATTTTCACCTTTGTATCCTCATTGCCTGGCACACAGAAGGCACTTAATAAATGCTTGTTAGTTATTAATTGCTCTATACATGCAATTATCTCTAATAGAATGCAAGCCCCTTGAGGGCAGAGGCTGTCTCATTTTGGTCTTTTGTGTCCCCAGCACCCAGCACAGTGCCTGGCATGTGGGAGGTGCTTAATAAAAGCTTGTTAATTAATTTACTGATTGATTTATACAGGCAGTTATCTTCAATAGAATGTAAGTTCCCTGAGGACAGGGTCCATTTCCTTTTCATCTTTGTATTCCTCATTGCCTGTCACATAGAAGGTGCTTAATAAATGCATGTTGATTGATATATACATGTGGTCATCTCCAATAGAATGTAAACCGTCTGAGGGCAGAGACAGTCTCATTTTGGTCTTTTGTGTCCCCAGCACCTAGGACAGTGCCTGGTGGGTAGGAGCCCTCAAGAAAGGCATGTTGAATTAGATTGAGTTGGGTATTAGCTGCCTTGTGGAGAGGAAGCTTGGCATCACCAGCCTGCAGAATCCCTTGCCTTTTTTGCTTTCAGTTTTGATGCCTAGCATGGCAAGAATCTGAATCGATTTCCAGCTTTGTCAGAATTAAAGGAAAACCCATCGTGGCAGCCTCCTTTCCCCTCTTCTAGAGAGACTGTTTGCCATTGTCAGTCTCAGTCAAGTTCTAAGGTGGGAGGGATGAGGAGTAGAATCAAGGGCCATTGTTCCATCCCAGAGTAAGGAATCTGCCAGAACACAATCACCTTTTTGTTCTCGGGAACCTCCTTTCCCAAGCAACAGGCAAGACAGAAATGTCCCAGTGTGGCTTCAGCAAGCAGCATCCTTCCTATGGAGCTTTCCCAAGCCCACATCCTGACTGTGACTTTGGTGTGAGCAGGTTCTCAAGTGAGGCTGTCTTTCAAGTGAGACTTCAAACCGGAGCCCTGCTCGCCTGCTCTTTTGAGGGTCAAAGGTCCCCTTATGCCCTCAGTGAATGAGTGACCTGTGCTGTTCATTGTTGGTCTGTAAAAGCATTCCCAGGCTTTGGGAGGGGTAGCTTGGATCCAGATCTATTGAGAAATCAGCAGAGTAAACAAAGATGCGATTGCTCTCATTTCTCGGTTCAGAAACTCCCTTGGCCAGCTTAGCCGGAGGGACTCACACCGAGCCTGGAGAAGCCACATTCAGCTTTCCTTTTTAAATGTCTGGTAGCAATATAACCATTTACTCCTTACAAACATGTAACGGGTAGGCTAAGGAAGCCCTGCTGGGTTTTCACTGGGCCATCTTTACGCCCATGGTCTCCTCCAGAAAGACTATCTGGCTTGGATAATGGAGTCACAAATTGAGAAGTTTGGGGAGGGGACTAAATTTAGGGCCCATCTGGTCCAACTTCTTCATTTAAAAAATCAGGACAGCAGAGAAGCCTCGGCTCTTACAGGTGTAGCAGGATCATAGCTAGAGGATACCTCAGAAACCACGCAGTCCAAGGTTTGCATTTTACAGATGAGGAAACCAAGGGCCAGGGAGATTAAATGTTTGATCATAGAAGCATAAGATCAAGGATTTAGAGATAGAAGAGGCCTTGGATGACATCTGACACAAACTCTTTCTATAAGGAAGGAAATGAAGACCCAAAGAGGTCATGAGTGACTTACCAAAGATCTCACAGGTCATATGCAGCTGAGCTGAGATTTGAACCTGGTACCTCTCTGCAAATCCAGCCCTCCTTCCAATTTACCATTCCATCTTCTGGTCCAAATCCTGCCCCTGCCAGGGCCTGCCTGTGTGATCATAGGCAAGTAGCTGCATCTCTCTGTGTCCTGAGTGGAGAAGGGGAAGAACACTGAAGGCAGGGATCAGAATCCTCCTTTTGGGCTGGGTCTCAGGATGTGTATCTTTCTTTCAGCTTAACCTCCTCCATACAGAGCTGACGAAGCAACTGGCAGACACGATGGTGCTTCCCATCATACAGTTTCGAGAGAAAGATCTCACAGGTAACATGTTGGCACCCATCAGGCCACCTTCTGCTGTGTACTTATGTCATTTATTGTTTTCTTCTCTCTTTCTCTGTCTCTCCCTCTCTCTCTCTCTCTCCTCCCTCTTCCTCTCCACATGCATACATATGTACATATATCATTATGGTATTAATATAATTAATATATATTCTTATGTATATACAGATATAATTTATCACTATATTCTGTTATCATTTTTTATTTATTTTAAAGCAATATTTATTGGTATATTTTATTTTTACACAGCCTTCATTTCCCAATACATCCCTCCCTGCCTCCCTATTCCTAGAGAGCCATCCCTTAGAAAGTAAAATGAGGGGACAGATAGATGGGACAGTGGATAGAGCACCAATCCTGGAATCAGGAGGACTTGAGTTCAAATTCGGCCTCAGACCAGACATTTGACACTTACTAGCTGTGTGACCCTAGGCAAGTCACTTAACCCCAATTGCCTTAAAAAAAAGAAAAAGAAGACAAAATAAAAGTGAAAGATGGGGTGGGGGAGGGGAAGGGAAGCAATTCAGGAAAACTAACTGGTACATCCACGAAGTCTGACAACTATGCTATATTCTACACCAATAAACAATCTATGTTGTATTCTATGTCAATTTCACATCATTTTTTTCAAATTTGGGCATTATAATTGTGTGTTAAACCCCCCCCCCCAATTTAGGGGTAGAGTGCTGGATTCAGAACCAGGTCAGAGTCTTACCTCAGACCCTTGCTAACTGTAAAACTCTGAATAAGCCAATTCCCTTTCCTAGGCCTCAGGTTTTGTTATTTATTTATCCATGTGCCACTCTCTATCACCCTATTTGGAGTTTTCTTGGCAAAGACACTGGAGCAGTTTGCCATTGCCTTCTTCAGTTCATTTTACATATGAGGAAACTGAGGCAAACAGGATTAAGTGACTTGCCCAGGGTCACACAGCTAATAAGTATCTGAGGTCAGATTTGAACTCATGAAGATGAATCTTCCTGATTCCAAGCTCAGTGCTCTATCCACTGTGCCACCTAGCTACCCCCAGCCTCAGTTTTTTTATCTGTAAAATGAGGGGCTTAGATTCAATGACTTCTAAGATCTCTCCCTGCTTTAAACCTATACTCCTGTAAGAATGTTCTTTTTCCCCTAACATTCTTCTAATCTGTATTGACACATCAGATCTGGCATAAAGTTTTAGGGAGGGAAATAAACTTGTTTTTCTTTAGAAGTTAAAAGAAATATATTTGAAAACCAACACAGAATAAGCACTTTAGTTAAAATGGTGGTTGACTTAATTATGTGGTAGAGATAGTGATTAAAAGGCCAGCTTTAGAGGCAGGAAGACCGAGGGTCAAGCCCCATTTCTGGCATTCCCTGACATCCTGGCTAAGTGACCCTGGACAAATCTTCCTAACCTTTTAGGACTCTGGGAAACTCCTGAGACTATAACATACAGACCAATGGACTATTGGGTATTGATAGAGGGCATTTCTATGTGAAAAGGCAAATCTGGACCAAAGACAAAAATTAAACTATAGATTCCCATGTACGTATGTCAGTGAGCATTTATTAAGGACCAACCTTGTACCAGACATTGTGCTGAGTGTTGAGGATATGAATACAATGAGTTAAACAATATGTGTGTATACATGTATATATATGCACAGACATTCTGTATTATATATAATAATAAATTATATGTAATAAATTGTATATTATATATTATCATATAATATTTGCTTTATACATGTATAATACATTATATAATTATATAACATATGCATATTGTGTAATGCATCATATACAATACATTAATATATTCTGTATTATATATAATATATTAATATATTGAATTATTACATGCACATATTCTATAATATATATTATACACATATAATATGATCCTATAATATATGCATATCATATAATACAGTATGTATTATATTATTAGTAATATATTATATTCTATATTGTATACAGAATAAATATAAAGAGAATTAAAGTATAAGGCAATGTGAGAATGGAGGTCGCTGGCAGTTGAGGGGATTAGACAATTCTTCAGGTGGAAGGTGATGTTTGAACTGCACCTTGGTGGTCAAGAGGACTTCTTGGAGTGGGAAGGGAGGAGAGAGGGCGTTCCTGGCCCAGGGGATGGCTCCTGCAAAGGAACAGAGATGGAAGATGGAGAGCCATCTTGGGTGGACCCAAGAGAAGGCCAACTTGGCTGCAGTGCAACAGGGGGAAATAATGAGGCTGGGAAGGAAAGCCTGGGCAAAGGCACAGAGACCTTTCAAAGCTAAACAGAGGAGCTTAGATTTATTTTATCCTAGAGGCCATAGGGAGTTCAACTTAGTAATAGAAGCATCTGTTCAACAGGAAGGAACTTTTGTGGTCTGTTTCTGGGATAGAAAGAGGACAGAAAAGTTTATGATTACAGAGTTGTGAGCTCCCCTGAGCACTTGATTTCTGCTCACCAGATTTCTGTAAGGGGATGCCTACTGTCCCCCACAAATACTAAATGCATTGGCAGGAGAGTGTGACCCAGGCTTATGAGTAAATTGTGATATACTTATTATTCACCTGTTTACTTTAATATTTGAGTATCTATGATGCATTTTTTTTTTGCTGAATTGCTAAGTAAATAGTTATGGTTAAGATCTAAATGGTTCATCAATGCAAGTGCCTGATTTTCTACAAATGAAGCACATGAATAAGGGCTTGAAAACTAAAGCAGTGAGTAAAGGGAGCATGTTCCTCCTCAAAAAGATCACCACTAGGGATCCAAGAGAGTTTGAATGTAAGTGCATGGGGGTGGTCCTTCTCTGAGAACCTGGACCTGCCAGGGTGAGGGCAAGCTGGAGTCAGTAAGTAGGTGTCCGCATGTTCTGTGTGAGAGGGGCTACAGTGTGGGTGCCATCTCATATAAATATGACATTTGCATAAATTTGTTTAGAGACTTAATACTTCAAGGATTCCTGATTTTGTCTGGTAGGGTACTCCCTTCATCCACACAGATAGCAGTGCAACTTCATAGAAAGCCATGGGGAGTTGCTTGTAGACAAAGAAATTCATTGCCTTGTGGCCAACCTGATAATGAACCTTTTGAACTGAGCTGGTCCCCAGGTAATAGATACCTAAAGGGAGAAGTAGGCAGGTAGGCAAAGTGAGAAAAGGAGAGAGAGAGAGAGAGAGAGAGAGAGAGAGAGAGAGAGAGAGAGAGAGAGAGAGAGAGAGAGAGAGAGAGAAGAGGAAGAGAGACAAGAAAGAGAGAAATAGGGAGAGAGGAGAGACAGAGAAAGAGGGAGGGGGGGAGGAGGGAGAGAGGGAGAGAAGGAGGGAAGGGGGAGAGGGAGAGGGAGAGAGAAGGAGAGAGAGAAGAGAGAGAAAGAGAACCAAGAAGG